GTAGATCAAACCCATCTTTTGTGTATACATCCACCTGGCCTCCTATAAATTCTAATTCAGTCCTTGTATATCACCCTTCTGGATTCCAATCAACTTACTCAATCTCTTCTACAAGCGTTGTACATTAACCTCATTTAATGTATAAACAACTCATTCCCTATCTACTGTAATAACAACTCATGTATATATTCTCTCAATTTGTTACTCATGTATCACTTGCTTGACAACGACATTAGAATCTATGTCGAAACGTCGCCTCCACAGAATAAAAGAAGTTGTATATCCAATATAATTGTCATTATTCTTCATCAACTCAACATCTAAAATTCCCATCAAAGAAACAATTCAATTGGTTGGTGTGATTAAGTTGGTTAAGACAATTCGAATCCAGTTATGTCAAATAATATGTAATTCCTTAAGTCACATCACAAAATGAACGTTTCCGTTATTTCACGATATGACTATTGCATACGTGCAAATTGCATGTCAAAGGAAAGTCTACATCTCTATTAGATATTTTCTTAAGGTCAAGTCATACACCGCCATTCGTGGGCAAGAACATTACTGAAAACCATTTAATACTATCCAGAAATTACGAAGGCGACTGAGCTTCCGTTTGCAGTCGATCATGCGCAGACAGCAATGAATTGTGGGTAATATCGCTTTCTCGCTCTATCGCTTTCTCGCTCTATCGCTTTCTCGCTTTATCGCTTTCTCGCGTAATGATATCGCTTTCTCGTCTCGTGCTATCGCTTTCTCGTCTCGTGCTATCGCTTTCTCGTCTCGTGTTATCGCTTTCTCGTCTCGTGCTATCGCTTTCTCGTCTCGTGCTATCGCTTTCTCGTCTCGTGCTATCGCTTTCTCGTCTCGTGTTATCGCTTTCTCGTCTCGTGATATCGCTTTCTCGCTTTCTCGCCTCCGAATTTTAAGGCGAGAAAGCGATGGCCCTAATCAGCCACCATAAACATATGCCATATAATGAACCATTCTCTCATCCCAATGATCATGTGGTAACTTGATCTGACAGTGTTAAGGTCTTCCGATCTCCTCCCTTCGAGGCACAAGGTGTGGACAAAGAGCACAGAACATCTAACTGGTCTGGCTATGCTGCACACACACAAAAGTACACCTTTGATACCAAGTTCATGCACTATCTACTCCCGGAAGACAAACTGGAGGAAATTCAAATACAGCTAAAAGTGTATAGTGAAGTCAAAATCATTTTTGATATTCCCTTGGAACTGTAAATGTACGTGTTAATTTCATGGATGATTATAAATATAGCAATCTTTCTTACTGACTTATCTTGTTAAGATTCAATGAGTAAACTGAGTGAGTGAGTAATATTGAAAAAACCTGAAGATATCATGTATATGATGTAAATGTCACCTGCAATTTCTGGACTCTCAACTGAATTTAATAATACAACTATTTTATATATATTCTTAAAGTGAACAACCCATTTCTGGTGTCCCCCGCCGTGATACTGCTGGAATATTGCTAAAAGCAGCGTAAAGCCAAACTCACTCACTCATGCACTCACTTAAACTGAACAAAACAGTTGTTTTACATATATATATATATATACTAGGCACATAAAGAAACTGTGCATACAAAAAATTTCAATCAAAATTTATCAAACCTGTGTAGACACATAAGGATTTAAACTCAGAGATTAGTGACATGTATCCAACATGCATGCACGTGCCACGTTCCGTGACGTCAGTGGGTTCGTCCTTGAGACGTGCAATACGTTGTTGGGAAAGAGAAACAGAGCAAATGAATGCCACACAATACTGTTACTTTGGAAAGCTCAACCCCTGCCCATGCGATCGTTCAAAAAATTAAACGGCTATTGAAACGCATAGCATGCCAAGGCTCACGTCTGCACAACGTCATGATGCCATTGGGATGGTCCGTGGGGAAATGTCTCAACGACAAGTGGCTGCACATTCCCACTGCCACCGGAACACGATTTCTGCACTGGTGAGACGCTACCAGAACACAAATGACGTCATCGATCAGCCACGTTCTGGACGTCCACGTGTAACAACGCCAAGACAGGACAGATGGATAAGGGTGACCCATCTTCGCTACAGGTTTCAGACTGCAGTGATGCCTGCCCGAACCATCCCAGGACTTCGCCGTATCCACCCCAACACAGTTCGACAACGTTTACGTCATCACAGGATCAGACCACGACGTTCCGCCATACGGCCTATGCTGACACAATGTCATCGACAAGCTCGCCGAATGTGGTGCCGAAATCATGTCCGCAGACCCTTGTTTTGGTGGAGAAATGTTGTTTTTACAGATGAGTCCAGGTTTAACATTAGACGCGTGGGAGAACGTTATGCACAGGCCTGTGTCTTGGAGAGGAATCGCTTTGGTGGTGGTTCCGTGATGATTTGGGGTGGAATAACAGCACGCCAAAGAATTCTTTTGGTGATTGTTCAGGGCAACTTAACTGGTGTGGGCTACAGGGGTCAGATTCTTCGACCTGTGGCAATTACTTTTTCTGCAACATCATGACCCTGGGTTAACATTCCAACAGGACAATGCCCGCCCTCATACGGCAAGGGTTGCTATGGATTTCTTGCAACACCACAACGTTGACTTACTGCCTTGGCCTGCAAATTCACCGGATCTCTCCCCGATAGAGCATGTTTGGGACGAGATGGCTCGACGTCTACGCCGTCTTCCTCATCCGCCAGATAACGTCCTTGACCTTGCAACAGAACTTGAGAGAATCTGGCGTGACATCCCACAAGCCTTCCTTGCACGTTTGATAGGCTCTGTGCGTCGTCGATACACTGCTAGGCTGTTCTCAATGCCGATGGTGGACATACCCGTTATTGAGCTTGTGACATGGTCGTTTGACCCCTGTCCCGCTTGTGGACTCTTGACTTCATTGTGATTGACTTTTCAATTGAAGTTCTCCCGACTTGTTATGGTCTCATGATCCCTCCATTAAAGTTTATATGTACCTTTGACATTGTTATCGTACTTATCAACTGGGATAATTTGTTGACAATGCACAATTTCTTTATGTGGCTAGTATAGATACATGTATGTCGAAACATATGTTTAAAGTTTAGTTCAGAACATTATGTACAGATGCTACAATTTTGAACAAAGAAACTTAAAAAACATGAAAAGTGGTCAAACATAGCAGGGAAAAACTTTGATACAATATTAGAAATTACATAAATGGAGCCATTTTACCTTCAGAATTGCATCTGAGAGCATCTAATTTTAAGAAATTCCCGGGGCCCCCTAGATCCTCGGATGCTTCGCGGCCTCGAACATGGATAGTGCCCCCCTATAAAGAAAAGTTAACTACGGCCCTTGAATTGGTCTTCAGTAACCCATGTTTGTCCTAAAAGGCGACTGACGGGATCGGGTGGTCAGGCTCGCTGACTGGGTTGACACATGTCATCGTATCCCATGCTGTTGATCCCAGACTCGATTATTTATAGACCGCCGCCATACAGCTGGAATATTGCTGAGTGCGGCGGAAAACTAAACTCACTCACTCACTTTATCTGTAAGCAAATACTTCCAAAGGATGTCGATGTACTGCAGGCTATTTAGAACTTCCTTGTATTTATACGTTACTGGAGTTACTGGCTGTAACGCAAACGTTTGATAAATGTGAATTCTGTTATTTTAAATGATTTGATATGTTACCCCCGTTTGCCAGAATATACTGTACGTTCTTATATTTAAAAGGCCGTGGGGATACAGCTTTTCATTACCTTTGTCATTGTTTCATATCTTATACTAAATACAACTTGCGTTTCTGAGTCGCTCATTTACATGCTATCGGTGTGGCTGCTCTGTAGTTGGAACTTATACCATATTCTACACATACAAGGGGCGGGGAGGTAGCCTTGATGGTCAATGGGTACAACGTGTGAAGTCCATTTCTGGTGTCCCCCGCCATGATATTACTGGAATATTGCTAAAAAGGCAGCGTAAAGCTAAACTCACTCAATCATTCAACAAAAGTATTGACAATGGTTTATAATAACAATACAATGCAATGTAATTACATTTAAATACTCAGGAAGTACAAGTTTTAAACATTCAGGGTAAATTTAATTTTCAAAAGCATACAGACAGAGTGGAAGACTCTAAATAATCTAAATCTAAATATGATACATGTATTATGACATATACCATTTACCTTTCCAAGTGATGGCCTCCGTGGTTAGAGCATCTGCCGGGAGAGCGGAAGATTGCTTGTTCGAATCCCGGCCACGTCATACCAAAAGACGTTAAAATATGGTACTTGCTGGCCCCTGCCTGGCGCTCGGCATTAATGGATACAACAGGGACTGGTCGGCTCGGAATCAGTATAATAAGTCTGAGTGGGGTATTCATGCTTAACTGCGGCATGGTATTTCAGTGAGCTAACACTAGAAAAACATGTTATGGACGGGGAAAAGAAAACTTTTGTACTTTTGGCAAATATTGTACTGTGCCGATGGTATGAAAGCGGTTTCCAATTCCGTGAAAAACTTTCAAAATCCCACCGTTTTACATTCAGACCGAACACGAACACATGGAAATACTGCATATCAATCCATAACAAGTGGCTACTACCACCCCGTCCAAACAATATATCTACCACCCTCAACTGGACACTAGCCTCAAATAGTCGCTCATCAAGTACTCCAGCCTAATAAATGGACGATATTTAGGCTCCAAAGTTTGAGGTCTGAACCCGTCAAGATCCAGGTCAGAATTGATCTTGGGCAACCCATGCTTGTCGTAAGACAACAGGTGGTCAGGCTCGCTGACTTGGTTGTTTTATATTGACCTGATATAAATTTACTTCATCAATGGACTTCATCAGCTTACACTATTACAGTAAACACAGAGAATAAACACAGAGGATAAACACAGAGGAACAAATGTTGGCATAAAATATTACGTTTGTTGTAAAGTGTAAAACTAAACATATCTGGAAAATGTACCTTCCACAACATAAATGATTCAATATTCAAGATGTTTATTGCATTCAAAGAGATATTACGTATTACATGAAAATAAATATATGTAACAATATATGTAACATATGTAAATATGTGAGGTTATATGTCATCTGTGACACAGAATATGTTACTATCCACATGGATCATCTTTTGGTCAACCCTGAGAACATCCAGGTTAGAATTGATCTTCAGTAACACATGCTTCTCATAAGAGGTTAGCAACGGGATCGGGTGGTCAGGCTTGCTGACTTGGTTGACATATGTCATCATATCCCAACTGCGTAGAAGAATGTTCATGATGTTGATCACTGGATTGCCTGGTCCTGACTCAATTATTTACAGATCGCTACCATATTGCTGATTGCAAACCAACCATCTTATGGTCAGCTGAATTAACACTTGTGATTGTGCTGATGAAGCATAGTAAGTGAGATAAGATCTAACTTCACATCAGCAGTACTTCAGCCATATATGGACGAGATGAAGCAGTGACCATACATCGGCAATCTTGGAGTCAAACTAATCATAATAAGGGCTTGAGAAAAAATGTGTTACAAAACATAGGATAAAAGGTATTACTTGACAAATAGTAGCCATCATGTAAGATCTATACATATATCTAACAAAATATTTCTTTTTTACACAGCATTTTGGACATAAAACATATATAAACTGGAAAAATATTAGGGATCATGAACAATTTGGGGAATAACACTGAGCACATAATGTAATAATTTATTCCCCAACATAAGTATTATCCCTAACTTTTGATTGTTAAGTATATATTTAACTCATAAAAATATATCATAAACTTCATATACATAAATAAAAGCGGCGTAAAACCAAACTCAGTTAGTCAGTCATATACATAATATAGCACCCATAACTATTTCAAGACATTATTACCCTTCAGAGAAAACAATAGCATTATATGTAACCCTACCCAAACCCAAACCCATGCAATTTGTGCAACACTACCCAAACCCAAACCCAAATCAAACCCATACCCATACCCATGAGTTTTCATGACAGATGTATATATTTAATACAACAGGTGAAAGCTACTGTGAACTTACAGGAGAAACTGTAGCATTGATCATCGTAAGTTGCATTGATGATGGATTTCATATAAAATGGGACATCAAATAACAAAAGTATTTTATTGATACTTTTTACCAAGAAATGGCAAACAGATGAAATATACCAATCTGGCATGACTTGATACAAGGAAAGCACGATCAGTCCTGCCATACTTTGAGGGTAGCATAACACTTCTTCCATGGCATAACACAAAACAGCCGAGTTTAAACATTTCAGCAAGACAACGCACATTTGCCCTATAACCACGTCTCAGTCATTTGTTTGATGCCTCTATATACCATGGACATATTACACTTGAGCATTAATTAAACACCTACTGGGTTCTGATCCACAAAGCGTTTGTAAAGTTACGACCTATCGTAACTCTATTCTTTATCATAGGCTCACGAACAGCATAGTGCTAGAAACGTTTTGTGGATCTGGTCCCTGGTTTACAATCCACTTCCAAAAAATAGTGATAAACAATCATCTCCATTCTTCACGCATGACCTTACAACCAAATTACAGCTGTAGACAGTCAAAACCTGAAACAACTGACTGAGGCACTGGGCAGAGGATCCAATTGTTGAATGTCAGACGTCTGATCACTGCCATTAGTAGACACGACATGATAATCATCTGTAGGTTGATACTCCAGATACTGCCTGAACAGTCAGTGGCAATTGCTATGTTGTTAACAATCAATTTATAAACTGGCAGTCAGATTCTTTGTGTTAGCTTGGTGTTGATATTATTGAGCAGTGTTGAAATGAACACCTATTTATAAACAGTCTTAAGGCCACCATGTGAGAGTTTACAAAGCCAAAAAGGTAAAAAAGAGTAGACAAATTAAAATAGCACTGACATGACCAAAGACACTTTCAGCAATGTTGAAATGAAGATCTTTTATGAATGTTAACCATTTACCAGTGTCACCTTTCATCAATAGTGTGACAGATGGTAGTGCCATGTATTCTGTTCGTCAGTTTGACTATTTTGTCATGGTTTCAGAAAACAATGAATCACACCAGTCTTTTTTAATAAAAAACATATCCAAAATGTGAGTGGTGCTTAATCAATAATGTGAATAACAAAGAGAAACATATTTTCCTTTTCCGCCTATTTCATGACCCGTCAAGCAGCTTGGCCGTTCTCCTCATACTCACTGGCTATCTCAATTCGAGATAAATACCCAGACCCTGAACCTGATTAAATACAGTAACAATTACATAAAACATACATCTACATCGAGGTAAAGGGAATCACAGCATACTTCCAGAGTCACCAAGAAGTTTATCACAGCGGCACAATTGCATGAAAAGTTATAGTGTCCTCTCTCCAAGGGAGATCATTCAGATTTTGAGATTCACAGTATTTCAGGGCTTCACAGCATAGAAGAGTCCCCATCTCTGGTCCCCGAGCCCCACTCGGTACAGCTTGTCCTTCCAGCCAGACACAATGTCATCATAGTCCTTCTGGCTGAACTCCTGAAAAACCAGACCAAGTCAGGTAGGAAATAGAGGCATATACTCCATAGAAACACACAAAGATTCTTTGATCCAGAATTACAACAGATAACTCACAAAATGTTATTTTTGAATGGACACTCCAAGAAAAGTATTCATGTGACATAACAAGGAAACAATGATTGTTTAAACCATACTTTCCACTGAGAAAGGTATTGTCTGGATAAAGTCATTTCATTAGCATATTTTAGCATCACCACCCAAAAAACATTTTCTGCAGACACGTGCTGGTTTGCATTTAAATATATATTTTCTGAAAAGATGATTTTTGAATGAATGATTCAGACAAAACTGACCAAATACAAAAGAAGGGGTCACTATGGCTGCAACTGACCTGGGTTCACATTACCATGACATTTTTCTACTACATGTACGTATATGCAAACTTTGGTGGTGTTACAAATATGAATCAATGTCGTATGAGAATGATCTTCGAAGTGACCTTTACATCTGACAAAACGTTTCGAAACAGCAATGAATGAGTTAGTTACTTTGAACATGTTGGAACTGATTGGAAAATGTTTCTTTCTTCATGAAACTTTCTGAAAACTAATAATTTTATCATTTAACTTCCAACGAACATAAGGGGCGGTTGGGTAGCCTAATGGTTAAAGCGTTGGCTCGCCACACCGAAGACCCCGGGTTCGAATCCCCACATGGGCACAATGTGTGAAGCCCATTTCTGGTGTCCCCCGCCGTGATGTTGCTGGAATATTGCTCAAAGCGGCGTAAAACCAAAACTCAGTCAGTCAGTCAGTCCAACGAACATAAAGGGTCACCCAAACATTAACCCAAATGGCAATCATAAATATATTTTAAGTTCAAATTCATGTTAACAAATGGTCTTTTTATTTTCAAACTGCATACTGAGGGACCTTGAACTTCAATCTCATTCAGAGTAAGTCCCTAGATGTACAGAGGATGTGTAAAAAGGACGAAGTCTCTTTTATATCCATCATAAAGATGTGGGAGAGAAACCAAGCTCAAGTAGTTTACTTATTACCAATATTTAATGTCACTCACTCGGAACACCGACTGTTGTCTGTTTTGCCTAATGGCCAAAAATCAGTTTTCACAAACCTTAACGAAGACATCTTTGATCTGCTCTGTGCGGGTCAGCTCAGTCTTGAGAACCTTTGTGAACAGATCTGTTTTGTCCTCCGCTCGTACATCAACAAAGCCAGCCTGTTCCAGCAACTGTGGCAGAGGAATACTTTAACTGGGGGACAAATGCCACTGTAGGCAACTTTCACGAGAATATCACTGTGGAACTCATGAGTTTTCATGACACATTTATATTTTAATACAAGAGATTAAATCTGAGTTGATGTTGGATTTCACATGAACTGCACGTCATACCATTAAAGTATTATATTCATATTTGTCACAAAGAGTGAGTGAGTGAGTTTAGTTTTACGCCACACTTAGCAATATTGCAACTATATGGCAGCAGTCTGTAAATAATCGAGTCTGGACCAGACAATCCAGTCAGAGCTACAGATAACTTTTTGGGTCATTGAGTTACGTACTCGCTTGTGTTCATCTCAATTGGGTATCCTTATTTTCCTTAGAGTAACCAAATAAATTGTACTCACCTCACTCAAACTCAATTGGGTATTTTGCCGTCTTCCATTAATTTTGAAAATCAAAAAAGTTTAAATGCTAGTTTTTGTTATTTTTTTTTATCTGTAATATGAGAAACGACAAGAAAGACTGCAAGTTGTCAAGTTCATATGCTGTAATAGAACCTCTCAGTATGCCTAACTTATTTTATCTATCCACCTTAACGCAAGCTAAGATTTGACATTTTTGTGTGTACGCATGTAAGATCACATTTATTGAGTATTTACCAAAATTCAAGCGTACTTGTACGTAATAGTCTTAATGGGAATTGAGTTTTCACATAAATATTTGCGTAATTTACGCAGATACGCAGCTTATCTGTACCTCTGCCAGTGATCAACAGCATGAACATCAATCTTCGCAAATGAGTGTACGATGACATGTGTCAACCAAGTCAGCTAGGCTGACCATCCAAGCCCGTGAGGACCAATTCTAACCCCCGATCTTCACAGGTATTGCCACAAAGAAATAGCTGCCAATATAGCACAACATAAAGCTAATAACCTGCCCTGGACCAGACAAACCAGTGACTGAAAGAAAGAATGAGCGACAGTCTGCACTATAGAGACGATGACACATAGGCTGAACCCCAGGGTATGATACTCCATAGTTGGACCATCTTCAGAACAAAAATTAAACCAGGAGAAAAATTAAACCAACTGAAACAGGGCTAGTAATTTGAACAAAATGTACCTTAAAAAGAATTGCATACATAGTTCATCATCCTCAATTTCCCATGGCCATTTGAAAGCGTTTAAAAGGGAAAAGAGTGAAGAAAGGGAAAAGAATAAAGTACCACCACGAACATTAAAGATATATGTTGAGCCCAATAATTAACTAACTCAGGTGACTGACCATAGAAAATATCCAGTGTTCTGCTTTGTCCTTGCACGGAAACCAGGGATAGACGTGGTCACTAGTTCCGAACTCTAAGACTAATAACAACAAACTAGCTCCTTTCTCTGAAACTCTATTGTACATAAACCACCAGTCCAGTATGAGCCAGTTGTATTTGACCCATGGCGCCTCCACCAGTGGTAACCTCATCTCTACTTGGTGTTCCAGTCAAGGCTGACCATTATCTACTTTACAGTACAAGCTTTGAAGCATACCTTCCCATACTGTGCTGGACTGTACAAGATGTACCCCCTCTGTTTCACATATGCCTTGAAGATTTCCGAGTGCTCATCGGCGCTGCAGCAGTAGTCTGAGATCAAGATCTTCCCACCTGGTTTCAGCCATTTCTACAAATTAATTTCTAAAATTAATAATAATTTGATTCTTAGATCTTGTACTGCTGACATGCTTTTCGTGTACAGATTGATGCTGTTCATATACAGATTAATGCTCTTCCTGTACAGATTAATGCTCTTCCTTCACACAGATTAATGCTCTTCCTGCACAGATAAATGCTCTTCCTGTACAAATTTATGAAAAAGTTAGTCAATTCTTAGAAAATATGCTTCATCTATTGTAACATCAAACAAATTGTTTTTATAGAACCTTTTGATATTGATGAACAGGCACCACCCAGCATAACTATTTAAGGTGGTACAGGTGATTTCAAACTTACGTAGAACCTCTTGAAGAGTGCCAGTTTGTCTGCAATGTGGAGGATGGTGTCCCTGCTGTAGATGATGTCGAAGGACTCGGGGCTGTATGATCGTTTTGTGACATCAGCAATCTCAAAGGTGACCTGGTCTGGATCCATCCCGACCTCTGCTGCTCTCTGGATGCCCAACTTGATCATGTTGGCTGACAGATCCATTGCCAGAACCCTTGCCCCAAACTCCTGGAATAGTCAACACAGCCATGAGATATACAAACATCTCCTCCCTTCAAAATAGCACGATGACAAATGATGGCCTTGAATAAACACTTTTGGTTCTTTCAAATAGCAGTAACTGCAATAATATTTCTACCAATGCATACTGGGCAAACCTAACAATATAGAGTCAATGCTTTTCTTCCCTATCTTCTTAAATCCTTGCATGATGTCCTCAGTGTTTTGGAGCTTAACTCGTAAAAGGAAGCGATCAATCTCATTTTATTTTATTTTTCCATTTAAGTTCATATAAAGATCCCTTGTAAAGTCACATTTTAGTGTGCAGATATTATCATAATATCCTGTTAATAGGAATTCAACAATTGTGATTACTGGAATATAAAGTGTGTAAATATCTATGTGTTCCAGACCCATGTTTCAAGCAAAGGTTTGCTTCTATTCTGCTGACTGTTTTTGACTGGTCTTAAAGATCGCATGGGTCCCTGGGAATCAGAGCTCTAGATGGGGCCTCTGGGTCCCTGGGGATCAGACCAGTGTCACTGACAAAATGGCTTGTAAACATAGTGGATTCGTTCGTTCATTCATTCATTCATTCATTCATTCATTCCATAAACCAAAGCCATCCATCCATCCGTCCATTCCATAAACCAAAGCCATCCATCCATCCATCCGTCCATTCCATAAACCAAAGCCATCCATCCATCCGTCCATTCCATAAACCAAAGCCATCCATCCATCCGTCCATTCCATAAACCAAAGTCATCCATCCATCCATCCATCCATTCCATAAACCAAAGCCATCCATCCGTCCATTCCATAAACCAAAGCCATCCATCCATCCATCCATCCATTCCATAAACCAAAGCCAACTATTACTGATTGCCAGGTTTACATGAACAAACTTACAAATATCCATCACCTGTAGCAACTCACAATGATTGGGCAGAGAGTTTGTGTTTCGGGATGTTCTTTAAAACACATCACTATTGTCAAAGGATGTCAAATCTACCATAGCATCTTGACATACATTACAAACTTTTTACTGAAAAACTATTTTTAGTAGGCAATTGAAAAAGGCAGCTGAAAAAGAAAACTGAATCTTATTCTATCATATTCAACATGGTATGGTGATTTGTGGGTTTGTAGATTAGCTATTGAAACAACTGGGAGCGAAATCTGCTAAAGATGAAGGATGTGTCAAATCCTTATAAAATAGTTAAACCACACCAATCTAGATGGTTCCCTTTCAGTGGAACTATTAGGCCAGGAGCCGGGAGCTGAAAATTGACATATTGGTACCACTCAGAGGGACCAAATGTTTTAGTGTTTTTTATATTCTTTTATGTCTCCACATATCAAAAATGTCTGATGGCCATGTCAGTTTGGTAGCTCAAACTCAGAACGAGGCTAAATCCAAGATTGCCGCTAAACAAAACAAAATTTTCAAAACATGTCAATTCCAAGCTCTAATCATATCTCACAGATATCTTGAAAAGACAACAAATAACATATGAACCATCCTGATAGTAATTTTCCAAGAAAGTTTTGATCCCAGAGAACTATAAACCAACTGGGTTTCACTGTGACTTGTATGAGAAAGGGATTTGCTCTATACATGACACCTACCTTGGCCATGTAGAAAGCACTACCACCAATACCACAGCCCACGTCCAGCACATAGCCACCCTCCGTCAGGTTCAACATGTCCACAAACAGCTGCAATGGAAATCAGTATAGGTGTCAACGTCCAGTGTTACAATATTACTTTGCTTATCAACTGGGTCTACTTTCTCCAGGGGCGGTGGGGTAGCCTAGTGGTTAAGCGTTCACTCGTCATGCCGAACACACGGGTTCGATTCCCCACATGGGTACAATGTGTGAAGCCCATTTCTGGTGTCCCCTGCCGTGATATTGATGGAATATTGCTAAAAGCTGCGTAAAACTGCACTCACTCACTCAACTTTCTCCATACTTTGATAATTCAATGGTCCCCAGGCCAAAACAACATCGGTTTCGCTTATTGCAGCTCTGTACAAGAGGTGCAACCTTTACATTACAACATTTAGTTTTAAGATGAAATCTTCAGTTTGGTTAGTTGTAGATTTCATGGTTACAGAAAGACTTTGGGTGAATGAGTGAGGTTGATTTCCTGCTGCTTCGAGCAGTATTTCAGTTACAGCACAGTGCGACAGCTTCATGTGAGAATGTTCAAGTCATGCAGGTCTTAGATTTACCACCTGGTAAAACCCATAGACATGTACCAGGGTAAACGGATTTTCAATCCAACAACGGTGCCTTGCACTGGTAAGGGACATAACTCTGTACAGCAATTTGCAGCACACTCCACTCCCATGATATGACATGGAAGATTAATGACAGGAGAAGGTGAGGAAACTAAGCTAGCACATGGGAATGGGGTATATTTTGGCAACAGAACTGATATTTAATCCCTACAGTCTCTTGCCCAAATACTATGTTCGTACATTATATTTAGCGTCCTGTGAGAAACTCAGCAATATTACACGGAATACAGTCTGTAAATAATCGTCCGGACAATCCAGTATCAAGGGCATGAATCTAGTCAGTTAGGTTATGCCCACATGCATCAACCAAGTCAGCAAGCACAGGGGTTTATGAAGACCATTTGTTACTTGTCTGTGTACAAGCAATATAAGAACAGCAAGTGAAGCCTACCTTTGTAGTCGCAAGTCCACCAGTACTGACAAATGTACGGCCAAATATCTTCTCATAACGAAGGATGCCATTCAAGGAATATTGCTGGGAGTCCAGGAACTCCTGGAATGTCTGGAAGCCCTGGTTGGTGGACGTGTCTCGCTTCACCTTCTGCCACAGCCACACCACCTGGTTCCCATTGCTTTTACGCTGCAGACACAACACAGCCACATTGTAGCTCACCTAACAACACTACAGACACATAATTTTACAGACACATTGTAGCTCACCTAACAACACTACAGACACATAATTGTACAGCCACATTGTAGCTCACCTAACAACACTACAGACACATAATTATACAGACACATTGTAGCTCACCTAACAACACTACAGACACATAATTGTACAGCCACATTGTAGCTCACCTAACAACACTACAGACACATAATTATACAGACACATTGTAGCTCACCTAACAACACTACAGACACATAATTGTACAGCCACATTGTAGCTCACCTAACAACACTACAGACACATAATTATACAGACACATTGTAGCTCACCTAACAACACTACAGACACATAATTATACAGACACATTGTAGCTCACCTAACAACACTACAGACACATAATTATACAGACACATTGTAGCTCACCTAACAACACTACAGACACATAATTATACAGACACATTGTAGCTCACCTTACACAGACACATCATAATTCCTTCAACATCACTACAGACACAATACAGACACATTGTAGCTCACCTTACACAGACACATCCTAATTCCTTTAACAACACTACAGACACACTGCAGACAGATTGTAACTCACCTTACAACACTACAGACACATCATAATTCCTTTAACAACACTACAGACACATTGTAGCTCACCTTACACAGACACATTGTAGCTCACCTTACACAGACCATTACAACTCACCTTACAACACAACACAGACACATTGTAGCTCACCTTACACACATATATACTTACTTTAATATATGTGGCTACAGCCTTTGAAAACACCAGGTCCAACCCATAGGACTGGTTCTCCCCACAGGAGACAACAGTGGAGGCAGCAAAGGCATCATACATCTGGGGATCTCGGTAGTGAGTGGGATTGTTTGTACGTGGCTTGTTACCTGTGACAAAGAAAATGCAAAGTTGCCTAACAAACAAAGAACTTCCCTGCTTTCTCGCAGAAGGGCTCATAATAAACCACCACACATTTCAAGTTTCCTCTACATCAGATTGCAGGACAGTGCCATAGACTCATGTAATGATAACAAAAAGACTGTCACAGCAAAAATAACTTCGTTTCCATTTTTGCGGAAACCTAATGGATACTGGGTAATGTACGTTTCCGCTAGGTTTCAGCATCCGGAAACAGACAATGTGAGTTTCCGCGTAGTTTACAAAACTGAAACTAACAAATCTAGGTTTCCGTCTGATTTCTACAACTGAAACTGTCATTATGAGTTTCCATTTAGTTTCAGGTAAGCTGAAAGATTCATAGCAAAATGACTTAGTTTCCGTTGTTGCGGAAACCCTATTGAATACTGGGTAATGTAGGTTTCAGCTAGGTTTCTGTACCGAAACTGACAAGTCTGTTGGTTTCAGCTTAGATGAAATGGCAAACTTAGCTTTGTGTTGTTCCATTGGGGGCTATATTAATTTACTGTTACACTTGTAAAATAATTTCTATATACAGTATCCAGCTTGGGTCCATGCAGGGAGGAAAAGCAATAGCCCATTTTATACTGTACTGTTAAAGTGTTTATGGTTATATGTTTTAGTGTACATTTGTGATAGACTGGTTATTTTACTGTCTTTCGAAGACAGGTAAAAAATTATATAATGCACACATTTAAATTTCCAAGGTTAGTTTCAGCGACTGGAAACTACCGAAAACCAACAAAGTTAGTTTCAGAAGCGGAAATTTAAAGTAAAGTATCATCGGTAGTTTCCATTGCATAAAGCGGCTGGAAACCATCATTGATGGGACCGTCAATGAAACGAGCGAAACGAAATTACTCCATATTAATGTTAGGTTATATGCTGTATATACTGGTATATACCAGTATATACAGCATATAACCGACATTAACCTACTAAACTGTCTATGTATTCCATGTATATAAGTTTCAGTTTAGTGATCTCAGTGTTTTTGTACACCAGAATTCAAATAAAAGATACTGTCACATGAAAGAAGAATAATTTCAGGAAAAGTTAAACCATATTCACGAAACTTAAGATTCTACTTTGTCTCCTTAACGATTTGTTAGGTACACTCACAGATGCCTTAAACTTTTAAATTACTGAAGAACCGGTAAGGCTCCATTGGGTTTCAGTTACCCATTGGCTTTTCATTTGTTTTTCTCAAAGTGATACATACTAACACAACTAACTGGGAGTGGTTATGCACATTACACATATCTGTACTAAAAGGACAATAATTTCGTAAATGTCCAATAAAGAACATAATACAGGCTTCAACAAATTACACAGTAGACTTATAGATATAAAATATGTTTAAGTTTAACGTCATCTGCCAGTGGTGAAAAAATGTTGGGATTGAAAGAAAATGAAGTCAATGAGCGTTTTGCCTTTTAATTATAGCATTATCATTATTGATCCATTATCATATTTATAAGCACTTTGGAACCTCATAAATTTATTAAATGGCTTTCTAGATATGTCATAGAGTTACCCTAAAATATAAGGGAATCAGTTTACGACCTGAAAAACTAAGAGATCTTGTTGGAGTACGCCCTGGATTGTCAGAAAAGGAGGTGGGGCTTATAACTCACATGAACAATGTTGTTTGTGGAATAATTTTGTTGAATGCTACAAGAAAAATGAAAACAAAATACAGATATCAAGCTTAAAACCAACTAACGTTATAACAAAACTAATGGGCTATTACCTTGTTCGAAAAGTATCCATCAGTATCCACATAATGGAGCGATATGCCATTCATCGGCAGCTGCCCCTAAAAACTGTTCCATGTCACGTGACCGGGTTTCACTGGACACCAAAGTTAATACACCTGACAAGTTTTTACATAATGTCACAATTCTTTAAAAGCGGTGCATGTTGTTTTAAGGGATTAGCTTTCACAAAATACCTAGCGAAATAGGTGACGGTAACTCACCCCCTTGTTCACTTACATGATGAAAATCAATGAAATTGAACTCACTTAGCTTGTTTTGATTGATATGAGTAAGCACCAACTCATCAATTTTGGTACATAATATGCTGGCCATAATTCATCACTTTTATTATGGCAAAACAGCAGTTACATGTGTAAAGTAAAAGTTCATTCCGACTTCACGAGGCTGTATGTATGGATGGTACATCTTGGATGTCCTGGGTATGTTGTAGAGTCTAAGCTGTCTCCACTGTCGATGATATAGTCACCAAACATCCTGACATACGTAACCCGAGCGTGTCAACAATGATATAAAGGTATAATTTATAAATATCCGCTGTGACAATGAATACAACATGTAAGATAAATATATTTTACAATACAACTGATGATTTGTCAACAGGAAGAATAAATGTACTAGTTAAGCAGAAACAGTTTCATACTTAATGAAACTGCAGTGTGAACTGGATGTGTACTATGTACATGTATTATGAAATTGTTTTATCATTATGATGATTAAAATAATTTGTCCCAAGATGTCATTTTAATGGATTTAATTGTTGTTGCCATGTCATGAATATGTAAAATATTATCTAACATCTGGTATTTTCTACGGATATCACTTCGTTGTACAATTTATTTTGTTTTTCAACTTGGGAATTTAGTGTTACCTGCATGCCTATCATCACAGATTATGTCCATTGTTCTCCAAGTGCGGTCAACCTGAAAATCCTGTGTGTCGCCCATATTGTTGTTACAAACATCACAAATACTAAACCTTTTCAGTATACGTTAGTAACTCTACAAACATAAAGACTATCTTTTGACGGGCCCTTTTGACAAAGACGTCGTGCAAGATAAAAGTAATAAATCAATTAGCGTGTTATCGGTTAATCCTTTCATCTGTGTTTGTTTTTTTAACTCAGTTGATAATTCCTTTTGCTGTCATGCATGCATATATTACATAACATGTAGTTCACTAGATGACCATCAAGTGAATGATGACAAATACACGGGTAAAATCGTTGTATTGCATGCAATATTAATTGCCTACAGAATCTTAGGGAACTACGCTGTGTGGTTTTAAAATAATAGGTCATCAACCATCACATTGTTCTTGATATGATTAAATATCAGGTTATAGTTTTAAAGAAATACACAGAAATAGGATCAAATTGGATCGGTCATATACGATCAACGCATCGGAAAATCTGAAAAAAAGCTTATACTGACTGCTGGAGTACTTTATTACGGGAAATACATCCACTGTTCTTATTGTTTCATTCTTTTAGGTTGAGGAAATTCTGCCATGGTTGACAGCTGCCCAGTCCCTGGGTCCGTCACGGTCGAGGTAGCATGTGCTGCAGTCAGACCACATACTAAAATTGTTGTCCCGAAACCGGAAGCGCTTGATTTGGAATGAATGAGGCGTCGCGAGATGTGACGGACATTGTAAAAACAAACAATTTACATAAACACATATTGCAGTTATCAGTGTTTTTCCAAGCTTATGAAGGGTAAGCAGACTATTGGCATGTTAACAATAGAAATGAAAAAAGCAACCTAATTGACTACCCATAAGTCTTTGTTTGAAATGCCGCCATCTTTGTTCAAACGTACACGCGCGAGATTGGAAAAAACTTCGTTGTTGTTTCCAAGTAAGTCTATGAGAGTAAGGTAGTAGAAATGGCAGTCTGTATACTTGCTATAGTTTTCTTGACACATGGCAACAAACTTGACAATCGAAGCTTTGGAAACAAGGATCCGGGAACTCAAGCGATCTCAACGGAAACCCAAGACAGAGAAATTGGCAGGTAGGTTTCAGATAAAATTAATTATTTTCTTTTTATCATAGCAGTCAGTTTGCATCGAATTAAACGTTTTCGGTAGGACCGGAACCTTTATCGTACATTAACTGTGCGCTCGCATTTCGATTTCTCCCACGGTTATAAATGTGAACATTGCATTTTGGTGTGAAATTTGTTAAAAACAACATTATTGTTGATACCAACTGAACATTCCGTTAAAATATAACCATAAGACAAGTATACCCTTGTGTTCCTGTACGTTGAGTCTGATGTTTATATAATTTTGATTTCCTGCGGCAGCTCATTTTGTTGCTGGGCCCAACCAACACCATAACCAAATATTTATTCTTCAGTCATTTTCTGAGTGTAATTTTGTCTCAGTATTATTCTTTTCTTGTCGGACTATTTCAATTATGTATCCAGCTATATTGGAACCGTGTACTGGAGCAGCGTTTATATAAGACACTTGGCTTGTTCACCTTTCCAGGTTATTGATGGAATAAAAATATATTTTAAGAAATTGTTATACATGTATCCAGCAAGGCAACAAATATAGATGAAACCAGTAGTTCATGATATTCCGGTGGAAAATATTACCAATCGACATATGTTCATGATCCAAATGTGTGTCTCTTTTTGTTTTAGGCTATTGTGAGAATCATGGAAAGGTTCGAGTTACCTTGAAAATCGATTAAAAGTTACTTATTTAAGGTAAAAAACTTACCCCAAGTTTTATTATTGCTCGTCATCATAATCAAGATATATGTTGGGTTTTATAAGATTAGAGAGCGTCAGTATTACAAAATACAATTAATTAGTTTCTTGTTCACCATTGGGTAAATCTAGCATCTAATTATTTCATTGTCAGGTATCTAGTACTAGCAGTAGAATTGACATAGCATACTATTATGTAGTGCATATTTGCTGCATAATCATGTCTGTCATGTTAATAGAAAACTTCTCACGCCGGGCTGTAATGCATATACATGTAGTTGATATACCACAATTACTTATTACTTGGTTTGATACATGATAATAATCAAACTTATGAATGTTTGTGTCGGATTGTAATAATCTATTATTGGACGAATGAAAATTAATTCATTTGCTTTTCTTAATAGAAACCTTTGGATAATCTGGAGGAGCAAGGCGGACGATCGGCGATGTCGGCAGACTACAGGGAAGAAAAGCACAGGAAAGATGCTAAAAGAAACAAAAGAATCTGATCTGTAAGTTCCTGAAACTGGATAATATAATATAATTTGTACCCGGTTTATACACTTCCTGACACCAGTTTAAAACACTCTGAGTCACTGACATGATGTGCTACATATTATCACATCGCTATATACCTGTAATAGAATAACTTTCCTTATCACATGTCATTACCCATCACCGTAATGTGCCATTATCTAATTAGAACAAGTGCAGCACTCAAGAATAAATGTTGGACATAACTTTCGCAGTGCAAGAATTTCATTTTTCCCCAGAAACTCCAACACCTCCTGAAGAATCTAGCTGGGCAGAGAAAGAACACAGAAGGTGGCTGCAGTCCTAAGCCTAGAATTGACATGCATCCAGTGGTGTCTGAAGCTCCAGCGGCAAAATGAAGAACTGGCGACACCATCCAACAAGATTCTTTCCAACCACCTAAAGGTCTTAGAATAGGATGGAATGTCTAAATGTACATTCAATTATCTCCTGTAGTCACCCTGTTTAGGACAAGAACATCTGTCTCTCTCTCTCTGTCCCTCTGTGTGCTTTGTGTCAATGTTTAATTGTAACATTGAAACATAGATATGATATAAATGTTTATGATGAATAAAGAGAAATCGACTGACATGCCTGATTTTGTATTTATTTATTTCTATGTCCATGTGGTGTTGAGGGTAACTGTAGTTGAAATGAGTTTATTTTATATTTCAATGTATCATGAATAAAATATATGACCTAATACATTCAAATATATAATACACTCATTTCACCTACAGTTAATTTAGTTGAATAATCATAATTTAATATGGACATATGGTAATCACTGAATACTAATGATTGAAACCAAATGGAGCCATACAGATTCTGATTTACTGAAACTTATGGAACATGGTAAATGTGTTTAATAGAATCGAAATTCACAGGAATCATAATTGAACTAAGTAAATACAATGTATATGAAACCATCTAAAGGTAGAGGATAAGGGAAACCCAATGGAACCTCATAGGAATCTAAATTAACGCGAGCGCACTGGAACCATACAGGAATCTGGGTTCTGAGGAAACGCGCACTGGAGCCCTACAGGAGAAAGGGTAACGGAAGCACTGGAGCCTTACTGGAAAGTGGGTAACGGAAACGCACTGGAGCCCTTACTGGAAACTGGGTAACGGAAACGCACTGGAGCCATGCCGGTTTCTGGGTAATTTGTAAGTTTCCGTTTTCCGGAAACTTGAAGGAAATGTAGAGAAACGTTCCGGAAACCTAGTTGAAACGTAAGTTTCCATTTTGTTTCCGTTAGGTTTCCGGGGTCCGGAAACCAAGTTATTTTTGCTGTGTGTTCCACTCTAATGACATTAGATCTGTTGACAAGGGAGTCCTATTATTAGTTACCTAACCACTTTGAGCTGAATTGCATCACTTGTCATACAACAGAACATCACATGCATCTAACTACCTTTACAGAAAGGACTTCCAGTTTGACAATATCAATTCCAGTGTGATGTATACAGGTTTTGTGCAAGAAACCTTTAAAATTGAAAGTCCTATGTCTCTGATTACCGGTACATTAATAAGAAAGGATATGCACTTTTTCACTCTAATGACATAATTCTGGTTTAGACAAGACAGTAATAGAACTAAAAAAGTAGCCATACCCTACTTCAATTACCTCAACAACAAAGTTAAATGTTCTTGTCTAACTGACCTTAATACCTTTCCTATCACAATCCAATGACAGATTTGATTATTTCTAGTGAAAACATGGGTGTTTACTCCAACAAACATACCACACACACAGTTTCAGAACAGGCGAGGCAGAACTACCTTTTGTCATCGCTTGCCACACATCCAAGTATTCAAATAACATATGTGCATACATAAGTACTTCCTCAAGACCATAGTACCTGAATTTTGAGTAATATCAATAATATTTTAACAGAGGATATGGTACATGTAATCATAACTTGGTGGCCTGATGACATGATACCCACCGGAGGCATGGAAGCAAGACTCTCTGATGAAGAGGTAGCCATCCTCATCCAGCCACTCAAGCAGCTTCTGCATCAGGTCCTGGACCTCTGTGTCCGACAGGTACATCAACAACCAGTTGGAGAACACAATGTCAGCACTGTAACAGGAACATATCAGTGACTAGAGGCAGTGAGTAGCATTTTCACAAGCTTCTGTCATCTAGTTGTGACTGATATTTTTCTGGTCCAAAACAACAACATATTTTTAATCAACAGAAAGTCTACAAAATGTGTGCGATAGTGGATCCTTACTAGGGCTCTCACGAGTCCAAAATTTGGGACTCGAGTACTCGAGGTGTCAGACCCGACTCGGACCCGAGTACCCGACAATCTGGATGCTTATCTGAAACCATGCAACATGTATATGTGAATCCAAACGTTCCTGAATAAAGCAATTAATATTCAATGTCAATGGAAGTATCTATTACCTTTTTATTATTGCAAACAGAATGTGAAGGCAACGTAAGTGTCACTGTGACCCAGTTCTACGCGATCAATTATGTGATAAATATTCATGAACTGGGCCGATGATACCTTATTACGCCTGTAAATGCTGTAATATGATTGGATGTGTCCGGGAAAAGAAACCAATCAATGTACTTCTCTTTTCTTTTGGTTTTAAGTTTGACTGCACTTTCAAGATTGTCTAATATTAATATGTCGTTGCAGTTATGACATATTAGCAACTTCTAAACATTCACCTCGACGATAAGTCACATAATCAATTAACCTTAATCACGGTTAAAATGCGGCAAAACACGTTCCAAAGCTGGAAGATACATAGATAAAGCGTTCATTGATTGGTACTGCATTAGATACTAGTATCTTGTAAAGATGGATCGACTATGGAACTTAAAGAATATGTAATAAACGATTGATGTTTATTTGAGACTTCTTATAGTGAAAACGTTTTGGTTTCAAACTAAAGACTAACCATTTATTGAGTAATACTACACTGTATTTCATCTTCTGAAACTCTGCTGAACGGAGATCACGTCAATGGTATTCAATGTGATTAAAACTTTCACTATTAAGGATGTAGGTCTCCAAGTGTGAATGTTATTTTGAATGCGTATGTATGTGTTGATTGTTGAATATGTAACACTGAAATACGCTGGATAAGAACGACTGAATATCTATGTAGAAAACAAGTTGTTCAAACATAGGTATAGTGGGCAGTGACAGTGATACAGCCGTGAGTGGCTACGCTTGTCCACGCGTTCGTAGTTAGGGCAACGGCAGGTACTGTTTTGGGTACTGATATTTTGTTCTCCTTGCAAACTTCATACGACTTTATGAGGTAGTTGTGAATTGTCGCAGTACATGGGACCTGGTAATTTGGGTTCAATGGTTCACAGAAAGCCCTGAAACCCTCCCCTTTAACAAGACTGAATGGTGGCATATCCTTAACGCCGCATAAGCATTGCTTTTGCGTAATACCTTCATACCATTTCCTGTCAACAGGCTTGCGACTTTTCGCGATCAAAATTACCAAACTGCCCCAGCGTTGCTTGTTGAGCTGGTTTTCTGTCTACAGTGCTTATTGTGGGTGCTTACAGGACAAATGCTTGCGTAACTAAGGGAAACGCCACAAAGACGGCATTTCGTATTTTGGCCACTAAATCAAGATAAAAATGCGTCAAGACATTGGATTTTTTCTCACGATCATCCATCTTGATTGCATGAGATGTTTAGAGGTATCTCCCCTGCGAGTCCTCGAGTCCATTCAATTGGACTCGAGTCCTGTTTTACCCGACTCGGACCCGAGTACCCGAGTACTCGTGAGAGCCCTAATCCTTACCTCTTGCTGTCTCTCTGTAGACGTGTGACATCGGCACACTGGAACTCCACGTTACCATAGTGACTGTTGGCCGCCTTGTTCTTACTGATAAACTCCTGTATGAAATCCACAGCTACAACATTTGAAGCTGACTCAGCAAAAACACTTGTAAATCTCCTGAAAACAAACACATACATAACATGTTTGTTTTAGCTTGGCAACAAGATGACACTTAAAATTAAACATTATGGTCCCACAAAACTGCCATTTCCTGCACGGCTAACAAACATCAGTTTCAAACAAAGCAGTTTTCATGTGTTTTCATCACTTATATTCTGCAAATATTTATACAATCTTACACAATAAACAAGATAAACAAAACAAGAAGCCGAGAACACAATTATACAGAAATAATTAGAATTCCTTTAACCTTACAACACTAAGCCATCCCATATAACAGTAACAATGCCAGACTAGTGAAATGCTATCTGACAGAAACAGTCCTACCCTATGCCTGCTCCAAGCTCTATCACCCTCTTGCCGCTGAACTCTGGGAGGTACGAGAGAATCTCTGGCATCTCTTCCTTGTGAAGCTCCTCTGCATCATTGTCCAACATCATCTCTTGTAGCGATGCAGATGTTGAGTGTTCCTTCCAGTAATCAGCCATGGCAGTTCTCACACCTGGAACCAAAGGTCACACAATAAGGAAGATAAGTTATCTTTACTTTGACTGGACAGTGTGGACAGAGGGAAACACAGTCAGTGTTCATCCCACATTTCTAAAAAGTGAGCACATCACCCACCAGCCCAACAGCCCCCAGCTCACCAGCCCACCAGACTCACTGATATTGGTGTTTTAGAGCCAGTGTGTTCCCCAAGGCAACAAAAGTGTGAAACTGCAACATGCAACACAATTGGTTCACTTAACAAAACCAACCTATCCCAACCAATTATACTAAGCACCTTGTTTTTTCTTATTACATTGATTGCAGGTTTCGCACAATCATTCTAAACACGGGTTGAAAGTCATCAGCTCATTCCCGAGGACTGAAAACTCATGTCGGTGAGAATAGGTTAAATTGTTTTTCGAAGACGTACTCGAATGATGCATTTCACATTTACATTGATGGATGCCCAGATACAACCTACCTGTACCTGTACAGTGCGCCATGTTAAATATCCGTGTGCAAATGGCGTAAGGGCGCAGCCTCAAATGAACACTGCATTCATTTGGTTTAACTCAATGTTCATAGTATGAAGAGACAGTCCAAGTTTCCAAGCTGTGACTTGTTTTTTGTGGTGATGACAATGAATGCCATTAGCTTTTTTTATTCAAATAAATCAGTGCTTTGTTGGTTGAACCAATTGCCTACAAATGCTCACAGTACACCAAATGTTACCATAAAAATGATATGAACAAGTGCCACCCTGCAGACTTTATTTGCTAGTTTATTGATTATTAGCCAACACTAAGGCAGGCAACTCTGGCAAGGAATACAGAAATGAAATTTATCAGGTAGGTATTGTGCAGTGTAGCATACTGTAAGTAGAGTTTTACTGGATGTCTTATACTACATCATCTTCATACAACGTGTGAACAGCTACAGGTAAGTCAAGTTTGTGAGTCCTGGGGAATGCATCATTTCACTTTCTGAATCAGTAACACGAAATTCAATTCAAGATTTCATGGCACAGATACAACTTCTATTCTGGTTAAATATATATTAAAAAGTTAAGAGTGTCAAAGATCAATATTCTTCAGTTTAACACTGAAATCACTATCTGCAAGACGGTAATTGCTTCTTACATATAAGGATGCTGGAGGCTGTCATCCTTAGAACCCCAGAGTCATGATTAGGTGCTGAAAAGTTCAATCCTTTCAATTGGGCTTCAAAAAAGATAGATGGCGGTAAATCCCTGATATGTAAAGTGAGTGAGTAATCGAGTCTGGACCAGACAATCCAGTGATCAACAACATGAGCATCGATCTACGCAATTGGGGTAATAAACGTGCTATTTTTACGCTTTTAGTAATATTCTCCTTGGCTAAGATTTTTGACGCACTCTTAGAGATAAGATAGTCATAAGTTAATGTATGGCACTTACGACTATCTTAACTCTAACAGAGCATCGAAAATCTAGGCTGTGTATCTGACACATTAGTGAGTGAGTGAGTGAGTGCATTTTAATCACAACCCTTTCCTCAAGTTACATCCAACCCGTGAAAGTCCGGGTTAGAAGCAACTAACGGGATCAGGTCATCAGGCTCGCTGACTTGGTTGACACATGTCATGGTATCCCCATTGCGTAGATCGATGCTCATGCTGTTGATCACTGGATTGTCTGGTCATCATAGAAAGTTTGTCAAGTTGTTTTATAGCCAAAACAATACAGATATCAGAAGTAAATAATTTATTTTTTGCGTTATATCGATTCAAATTTTCCACATTAACTGAAAGTTCTATGTCCACAATAAACACACCATGGCTTATGTCCCTTGGAAATGACGTCATTGGTGCCAGACCGATAAACGAATGAGGTTGTTAGACCCATTTCACGTGGTGCTGGTATAGGTGTGGTTCTAGTGTCTCGAAGAGCAGGTTACTGTTTTAATCCAGCTGTTGCCTGGCCGTCAGCTGGCTATGTGGTCAGTTCCACACTGTGATGACGTTGCAGTTTGAAAAAACGTATACATTGTACAAACAGTGTTTCCACGTAACCAAATGGTACAAACTTCAACCTGAGTCGGTCGTCTTTCAACAGTATCGTTTTCACAAAAACTAAAACGTTAATGCACTACATCTAGCTTGCCATCGGTGAATATGTTGGCATTCTACGTTTGTTACTTAAATCGTAAATATATGTCCAACCTTTTCCTCCATTCCCACCTATCAATACCATATCCAAATACATCATGAAGAAAAATGAAATTGGCAGTTTTTTAATTCGGTTTGAAATTCGGTTTTCTATGACATCATCTGCTCATTGTAAGGCAAATATCCTGAAAATTACATGCATCGTAAATCTGGCCAGTTTTGACACATTACGAAATAAACACAGTTAACGTCAAAGTGAATTTTCAGCCATATTGCAGAGTGTTTATAAAATCACGTCACACGCATACGTACACTTACACGAATCCCTGAATTCCTCATACAGTTCATAATAAAATGACAAATGGTCTTTGTCACCAATACCTAGTGTTTCAGTGAAATCTAACGAAATATATCAGATGCCGTGCTGGGAAAGGACCACTTGTTTGAAATGTAAACAAAGTCGTGTATGTGTTCGCCTACTTTTGTTGCATACACTTGCTCATTAGTTTAAGACCATGCATGGAAAAGGTATTGTGGCAAGCGATAGTTAAATAAAATAGGTGTATTCCAATGATTTCCGAGATTCATCACAACATATTATAGTTTCTGAAAGCGTGACGCCATGACTGATGAAAAATTCACCCACACCGACGATGGAAGTTCTCCTCATTTCTGACTATTTCCCTTGGTCACAATGAAAACAAAAAGAAAATAAGAACCAGCAGAATGTCAGAATGTTTCGGACTACTTACATGTCACATTTACGCATATATGTTGCTTGAAACAACGAAATTTCCCGTTGAAAAATCCAGCGTACTCGTGTCAGTGAACACGCCATTTTGAGAATGTCGCTTCCCGATAGTGATGTCATATGTACGTCAACATTGTTACACATATTTGGTATTTTCATTGACGTGAGGTTATGAATGAAAATACACACGATCAATCTGTCCTGCTGCTTACATTTTCAGTTCTTATGCTTCTTTCGTATTTTCACAAACTTTGCTCATGTGATTAATTTCAGTATTATTATCTTTTGGTTCGGGACTAGACAGGAGACCAGTCTAAAATTAAGTGGCACCAATTACGTCATAATCAAAGGGCGGTAACTCTGGCCTGTTTAGCTCGGCACACAAGGACCGCATGATGGCATAACATTTCAGCACTTATTTGAGCGTTATACTTTCATTGTAAGAAAAATGAGTATAATTTCAAACATTGATATTAAATAATTAAAACATTTCATTTTGTTTCATATAAGAATAAATGTGATTTTATCGTGTACACTTCCCCTTTAAGTTACCTCTTTTATCATGATACTTTCCAAAGTACCAGTAAAATTAAAACACAACTAAATATATCACATCACATTTACTAGTATATGTCAGAAAAATAACATTTACAAAGGTATATAAGAATATTTACTTTAAATTCTTTTTATTGAAAAAAAACATTCTTTTATCTATATACACTTCCATAAGATAGCTTGTGCATAAAATGATCATGCATATTTTACAGCACACACACAACAACACAGATAATTAAAACAAATCTCACACTTGATTGTAACAATACAGGGAAGTTTCAGATTATCAATTTCAAATAAAGATTTCCAAGTTGTCTCAATAATAATGATAATGTCCTATAGTTAGATCTTTAGCAATCATTTATATCTAGTACTTGATGTGGAATGTCTGTTACCATGGTTACTTCATGTGAAAGTGAAGGGAAATGACATTTGTTTTGATAGCATTTTGCATACTGGCCACAGGAAACTGTTTTGTCTGAATTGTTGCCCCAAACATATATGTATATTTCAAAGCCAATACATGTATATGTTTTGTCAGTTACCACTAATTATTACACACGTGTTGTGAATATCTTTATGAGATAATTTTGGTTATTTGAAACAGGTGTTGTGTAGCCAGTTGAAAGTTATCCAATGAGTGTTGTGTAACTAGGTTATTCAACGATAGTGACGTCATAATGCCAAACTTTATGCTGCCACCTCGATATTTTAAATTAACAATATAACTCCATTCAAGCAGTTTTTGACCAAAAATGTCAGCCAAACAAAACATTATGATAATTAAAATTCAATTTCGGTGTTCTGGGGAAAGTATTATGTTTCAATTGAATATTTTTAATTATTTATTCACAGGTGAAAGGGAGTGAATAATGAAAACGTTTAAAATATTGAGTTGGAATATTTTCCATAGTCAACATCCACCAGTGATCTATTTATTACACACAGGTCGGGAACACAGTGGGGCTGTACAGTATGGGGTAATATAGTGAGGCATGATACAATGTGGGGAAATACAGCATGGCCCTATACAAATTACAATATGGGGCAACACAATATGGAACTCTACAGTGTGGGGCAATATGTTATAGCATAATACAATGTGGGACAATACAGTATTAAACAACACAGTGTTAGGCATTACAATGACTGAGTGAGTGAGTTTAGTTTTACACCACTTTTAGCAATATTCCAGGAATATTACCGCTGGGGGACACCAGAAATGGGCTTCACATACATTAGCCATGTTGGGAATCAAACCTTGATCTTTGGCGTGACGAGCAAACGCTTTAACTACTAGGCTACCCTACCACCCTAGGCATGACAGCATTGGGCTACAGTGTAGGGTAACACATAGACTAAAGTTTAGTCCTTAAATACATATAAATTTGATAGTAGCAAATAAACCCATTTAAATTGAAAAGGAGTCCCAGTGAGACCAGAGATTCTAGAGGAGGAAATCTAGACTTGCTTTATTTAGAGCTTTAGCATTGCAGGGAGGGCTAAGCATTGGGGAAAATAATATGGTTCAGGGACCGTGAGACAGACTAGGTAACACAGTGTGGAGCAATTTTCTATGACCTATGGATACAGATACAGCTGTATTTATAACCTAAACCATATCACATTTTATGGTTCCTGCCTGCATAACACAGCTTTAGACCCAGTCACTGACAGATGCACTCCCTAATTTTAGATAGTATCATGATGATCATCCCAAAATATAATAAAATCACAACTCTAGTAATCATTTCAACGTTGCGAATATAACCAGGTCTTCGTCCTGCTGATCTTAATAACACTGACCTAGTCTATATTTACAGTTACACCGGGGGCGTGAGAGGTCATAGGTCGAACTCAACAGTCAACATAAGCCCTGCCCATGTACCTACATGAGCCCACTCTTCAACGATAATGTGTAATGCGAGGGTCAACTTACCCTAAGCGACCCAGCAGTCGGTTGCAGCGCCGACACGAACCTCCGTATGATTATATAGGTGCTATCTATTATATGGTCTCTGGTGCTATCTATGTAGGTCAGAAACTCTGGGCTGTGTAGAAATACTGGAGTTATCTCCCTTTGACAAAAGATTGGAAAATTCCGCTCATCAGCTGTTGAGTGTGGAATATCTTGACATTCCACTTGTGATAGACACAACCATAGTTTTACTGGATGGTAACACGTTAGTAGTTAGTGAGTGAGTGAGTTTAGTTTTACGCCGCATTCAGCAACATTCCAGCTATATGGCGGCGGTCTGTAAATTATCGAGTCTAGACCAGACAATCCAGTGATCAACAGCAGGAGCATGAATCGATGACATGTGTCAACTAAGTCAGCGAGCCTGACCACCTGATCCCGTTAGTCGCCTCTTACGACAAGCATGGGTTACTGAAGATCAATATTCTAACCCGGACCTTCACGGGTCACGTTAGTAATTATAGTTTGGATTCAAGATGTGAGTTATAACAATGGTCCCACTAAATGTGTATGAAATATAAAAATACTCGCCTATTTAAGTTTAACATTCTTTTTCAGAATATACTCATGGCAATAATGGTTGTCACCCCCTTCAAATTTTTTAATTGGAGAGGGGGTGTGGGGTGGGGGTGTGAGGTGCGTGTGGGGTTGGGGTGCGGACGGGGATGGCAACCATTATTGGCATAAGTATATTTGAATTTAAAATCAAACCGATTCTACTGTTCGGTGCGGAAATTTGGGGATTTAAACACTTTGATTCCATATAAAAAGTACACCTATTTGCCTGCAAGAAATTTATCGGGGTAAAGATGAGCACATCAAATGTTACGCTATATGGGGAATGTGGCAGATGCCCGCTCATCATATCTTCACAAATCAGAGCGATTAAATATTGGATAAGGTTATTAAGTATGCCATCCTACCATTTACCGAAAAAATGCTATATGATGTTACTATATGACAAAGAAGGTAAAAAGAATTGGATAACAGATGGCAAACACCAACTTATTAAAACTGGATTTAACTGTTAATAGTATGAACAAAAGGTTGAATTTTCGTCATAGTTTCTGAATACATTCACGCAAAACTTACAAGATATTAACCAATAAAAATGGTTGGAAACAATTTCAGTATCTACAAAATATCAGTATTACTCAATCTTTAAAACTCACATTTATACTAAACGTTATTTATCATGTGTTAATGTTAAGAAATTTAGAATATCTTCAGCTCGTTTCCGTTGTTCATCTCATGATCTATTAATAGAAAAAGGTAGGTTTAAGAGAAGATAGACTAAGTAGATGCTGTAACCATAATGTTATAGAAGACCAATATCATTTTCTTCTTGCATGTCCAGCATATATTACTATATGTAAAAAATATATTAAAGAATTCTATTTTGTCCATCCATCAATTGATAAATTTTCTTCTCTATTGAATTGTTCAAATGAAAGTGTAATGCAAAATTTTATTTATCAAGCCATGATGTTTAGAAAATGTATATATATATGAAATGTTCTATAGGCCTGTGGCCTCCTCAGTACTGAAATATAGATTAAAGGAACTTCTTCAATTCGAATGCATTGGGGCACTCCAAAAGTGGTTCAAGATACGGATGAGTCGATATCAGGGCATATTGCAGACGAAGATTCAGACGGTACACAACCAACATCGTCTATGACGATATAGTGGTTAACGACTGAGTTCGGGTTAACGATTTTCGCTGTAACTGGCTTTGTGAACTTGTCCAAGTCTGCCCGTCATCCTGCTGCTCAGGGGCTGATTAACATGACTTTTCAACACAATAACTACAAAATGACCGTCTCTGACATGCTTCTGGCAGTCTCTGTAGTCTTGTGAGTGAGTGAGTGAGTTTAGTTTTACGCCGCCTTTAGCATTATTCCAGCAATATCACGGCGGGGGACACCAGAAATGGGCTTCACACATTGTACCCATGAGGGGAATCGAACCCGGGTCTTCGGCGTTACGAGCGAACGCTATCCCACTGCCCCCTGTAGTCTTGTAGATCGAGCGTTCCCCCCTGGGAGCAGAAGGTCGGTCGGTGTTCCGAAGTCATACCAAAGGACGGTAACATACGATATAGCACTGTAACCCTGCCTGGAGCATATGAGATGAGTGAGTGAGCGCCGCTTTTAACAGTATTGAGGATAAATCACAACCTATCAGCTTAATGTGGCAGGGAAGCCCGAAGTGATGCGTATGTCTTACGTTAACCACTGCAGGGGTTGGTGCAGACAAACCAATAAACAACCGGGATTTGAACCAATAATCACAGGTGTCATTGGTGCTTCTTAGACGACTGTCCAGGAGATGAAACAAGGAATGGTCGGCCTGGAATCAGTAGGTCATATTGTAACAGAGTGGGGTCGTCCATGTGAGACTGTGTCCTCGGTGGGCTAGCACTATGAAACCGGCCTTTGTCGGTACTTGTACCAGGGACCACACAGAGACACGAGTGTACCATCACGCGTGCACATGCACGCTCGCATACAAACACGTGCTTTTCATGTCACTACACCAAACGCTCTAATCTTGAACGCTACGTCATTCCACCTAACACCAGCCCATCTTTGAGGGAGTTACAGACCTCCATTTTCCGTTATCAGTCTATAGACGTAACGTATCTGTGTTAGCTATACGAAAGACTGACAATATGTTCAGTTCAACATCGATAACCCCCTTAGAAGAATAACATCTAGCCTCGGAAATGAAAGTAGTTTACGCAAACAAGGTTATAAGTAAAAGGAGCCGAGGATTTTATTCATTTCAAGAAACTGGAGTAATGTTGACTTACCAACTATTATAGAATTGCATGGGGTGTATATGTTGAACATGTTTCTTTCAGCTTTAGGTTGGCCACGTCAGGGAGTGAGTAACGTCATTTAGTTAATTACACCTCAGCTTTCGTTTGCCAAGTCAGGGAGTGGGTGACGTAATATACTCAACTACATCAACTTCAGTTTGTCACGACAGTGAGTAACGTCATATATTATATTACACCAGCTTCAGTTTGCCATGTCAGCTAGTAACGTAATATACTCAATTACACCAGCTTCAGTTTGCCGCCCCAGGTAGTAACGTCATATACTCAATTACATCAGCTTCAGTTTGCCACGCCAGGTAGTAACGTTATATACTCATTGGTAGTAACGTCATACACTCAATGGTAGTAACGTCATATACTCAGATCAGTTTCAGTTTGTCAAGACAGCTAGTAACGTCAGATATTTAATTACACCTGCTTCAGTTTATCACGTCAGTGAGTAACGTCAGATATTTAATAACATCAGCTTCAATTTGTCACGACAGCTAGTAACGTCACATACTCAATGGTAGTAACGTCATATACTCAATTACGCCAGCTTCAGTTTGCCGCCCCAGGTAGTAACGTCATATACTCAATTACATCAACGTCAGTTTGTCACGACAGCTAGTAACGTCAGATATTTAATTACATCAGCTTCAGTTTGTCACGACTGCTAGTAACGTCACATACTCAATGGTAGTAACGTCATATACCCAATTACGCCAGCTTTAGTTTGCCGCCCCGGGTAGCAACTTCATATACTCAATTACATCAACGTCAGTTTATCACGTCAGTGAGTAACGTCAGATATTTAATTACACCAGCTTCAGTTTGCCGCCCCAGGTAGTAACGTCATATATTCAATGGCAGTAACGTCATATACTCAATTACATCAGCTTCAGTGTGCCACGCCAGGTAGTAACGTCATATACTCAATGGTAGTAACGTCGTATACCCAATGGTAGTAACGTCATATACTCAATAACATCAGTTTCAGTTTGCCACGTCAGATGGTTAATCACGTTGCCGAAAATAAACAAGTGAGTATTGATTTCGATTATTTTCGGTTTGTTTTGCTAGACTTTGCTTCTATGTGAAATAAATACCTAATATTGTATCACATTAATAACATCGATAACGTGTGTAGTCTCTCTGAAAAAGATATGATTAGACAAGCCGTGGTGCAAACAAGGATGCTTCCCTGTGCGCCATAAACTGCCGTGTCATCATGTATTTCATCACACTGGTGACTTTCTCTCAGTCCCTCTGCGTTGTCAATCCCACAGCTCATTTGTCGATATTACATCAAAGGAGAGTTGATACCAAATGTGACTATATTTCATCAATATAAATCAATAAAACTGTACGTACCAACTTTACTTGACATGTTTTCTGTTTCTTTATAACAAAATCTCTCGACACCAAATAAATTCACTAAAACGTTTCACTCAAAGTGTTGTTTTAGTGATATTCTGAAGCTGAAGCGGGCCTTTTATGCAACTTAGACGTGTGTGTGTGTCAGACGATACGAAAGGTGAAGGTTAGACTATCTCCATATGTCAGGGGAAGTTTCCGACCATGCCCTGCCGGTGGGGATATGTGGTTGCGTTTGTGCGATATGACCAGATTATATGCAAAGACATTTTGTATGATGTTAAAAAAAAGTTTCCCATTCTTTTCTAATGCTTACCAAATGTCTTACTAATAGTTTTATAGCGTTTGGATACAGTACTCTTCTTAGCTGAGTTTATTAATAAACAATGAACTACATTCCAATGGTATAATTGAACGTCCATTGTTAAGTATGATCTTACCAATCACCTAGACACCTACAGGACACATACACAACACATATAGGACGCAAGCATATGCCCTAAACCACTTTCTATGGATATAGCGACTTGCACATGCAAATAATTGACATTATATAGTATGACCAGAAATTATTGAGAATTTTAGGAATATGTTTAATTGGATTTCTAGTATAAACAACCTTGACCAGCTATCAAATGCGTGGTTTCATTCAAGAGAGACAACTCTATTAATCCTTTTTCATTAGTTTGTGAAGAGTTATCCCCCTTTGCAACTTTCTAGCAGACGACATTTTCAGTGATCCTCAGTATGGATGATTTAGAGAAGAGGAAGTTGATTTGAGAGTATTATAACAAGGACATCAGATCAGCTAAAGTGATTTCAAGTAGAACAGGCATCCCTTTGTCCACTGTTTATCGTGTTTTGAAAAATATTGCAAATGGATATGGCATTGAGCACCAGGGGGGCGCAGGTAGGCCCAGAAAAGTGACTGTCGGTGACAGGAGGCGGCTTGGTATTCTTGTTTCTAAAAACAAACGAAGGAGTTTAGAAAACTTAAGGCTGGATATGATTGATAGAGGAACTGTGGCTGTCTGTAAGGAGACAATTAGAACTGAGCTGCATGCAATGGGTTGGCAGAAAAGTCGAAGAATTCCATCACCGATCATGAAACCTGAACAAAAGGAGCGAAGGTTGAACTGGTGCTTACAGCATAGAAAATTTAACTGGGACAATGTGATTTTCTCAGATGAAAGTTCTGTGTGGCTGTTTCCTAATACACTAAAATTCTGGACAAAAAAACCCTGAAAAACCTTTATATCAGCGCCCAAAGTACAGTCCGAAATTTAACGTGTGGGGTGGCATATCTGTGTTAGGGGCAACGTCCCTCTGTGTATTTGAAGGGAATATGAACAGTGAGCGGTACACAGATATTCTCGAGGGACATTAACTTCCATCTGCTCACGTGTTCTATGGAAATTTTGGGATTTTCCAGCAGGACAACTATCCAAAACATCGTTCAAAGCATTCACAGGCCTGGTTTCGGACCCAGAATATGACATTATTAGATTGGCCAAGGTCCCAGATAGCATTCAGACATTGGCCCAACGTTGGCAATGGGTTTGCCAACATTGCCAACGTTGGGCCAACATCCGAATGCTATCTGGGCTATAGCCCTGACCTAAATCCAATAGAAAATGTTTGGGGACTTATGAAGGAAAGTGTCAATAAGAAAAATCTGACAAATATTGCTGAAATGAAAGAAGAGGTGGTCCGATATTGGGACAGCATGGACCACGGCTTTCTAACTTTTTGATCAGTAGTATGCCCCGCCGCATTGAAGCCTGCATTGCTGCCCATGCATGGTGACTTGAAAAAAACAACTTTTCACCTGTCTTTGAATCTGGAGTTATGTTCTGCTAATATTCACATTTAATACGTGAGTAATGAGTGAAAAAAATATAAAAATTACAATCTTTAAATTCTCAATAATTTCTGGTTGTACTGTAACTTGCAGGTGGATTTCCATATTGACAATTTGAAGAAAACTGTGTCATTTGTAATAGAATGTATCGGACGTTAAAGGACGTAATAATGACATTTCAACTGCCTGATTTTTTTTCCACACTGTTAAGAAAGTTTGTAAAACATTCAGTTGTGTATATTTCAAACAAAAACGAAGATTTTACAACTTTAAAGAAATAGTGTTACCAATAGTTTGACCCTTCATTAATGACGCCGAGTATACATTCCAATGGCATAATTGAACGTCCAATGTTAAGCATGATCTTACCAATCACCTAGACACCTACATGACACATACACGACACATATAGGACACAAGCATATACCCTGAACCACTTTCTATGGATATAGCGACTTACACGTGCAAATAATTGACATTATAACTGACAGGTGGATTTCCATATTGACAATTTGAAGAAAAAAATGTGCAATTTGTAATAGAATGTATCGGACGTTAAGGACGTAATAATGCCATTTCAACTGCCTGATGTGTTTTTCCACACTGTTAAGAAAGTTTGTAAAACATTCATTAATGACGCCGAGTATACATTCCAATGGTATCATTGAACGTCCATTGTTAAGTATGATTTTACCAATCACCTGGACACCCACATACACGACACATATAGGACACAAGCATATACCCTAAACCATGCGAATAATGCTTCACCAAATTAAAGTAAACGCCGACAGCATTATGATAGATTAGTAACCTTGTCCTCCGAGTGGAAAATCATGAGTCAGCAGTGTGATTTTAAACATCGAATTGTTCAGTATCTCCCAAACGCACACAGCCAGTCATTGATTGTACAGACCCCAACCTTCCGATAATACATCGTGCGAGGCTTTCCATAGACATATATAATTTTCCTCACGAATAAAGATCTAGATCATGAACTCTTAAAGAAGTTTTTCACTCTAATTGAGTTGAAATTTCATTCATAGGCGTGGAACGTGGCGTATACTTCAAAGTTTCATTCACTTGATAATACCTGCAATGACCCGTCACACCTGTTCCAGGCAATGTAGTCTCTGTTCTTGACGTTTCTCGCCCAGCACTTCTTCTCTTTCCATGTCTCCTCTTGCTAGTAATGTTTGCCTAACCATTGTAGATCCGGCTATGACTGATCTCCAACCCATGCTTGTCGCCAGAAGCTACTAACGGGACTGAATGGTTGACACATGTCATTATATCCCAGTTGCGGTTCTCACTGGATTGTCTGGTCCAGACTGGATTATTTACAGACCGCCTTCATATAGCAGGAATACTTAAATGACATTTTAAGGGTAACTATTCGTGTGACGTCGTGCATTATTTCCCAAAAACTAATGCTGGACTATGCTCTTGATCGTCTGCGTTGTTTCTGGATGATAGCAACAGGATACACATCTATTTAGGCAATAATGCACACGCTACGTCCACTGTGGGGTTGAACAAGTGTCAGGTTTTGTATTTGGTTGAGTATATGAATGTCAAGATATTTAGAAGCCCCCTTTGGTGTTCAAGTTCATTTCGAGTGAACGGTTGTCCAATGCAAGTTTGTATACCGGACCCTCCATCGTCAAGGTTAGTGTCGTTAGTGAATGTTATGTCGTGATTCCCAGCAAGACCCGGGCTGGAATTGGTCTTCAGGAACCCATGCTTGTCGTGAACGGTGACTAACGGATCTGTTGGTCAGGCGCGCTGACTTGGTTGACACATGTCATATTATCCCGATTGTGTAGATCGTTGCCCATGCTGTTGATCACTGGATTGTCTGGTCCAGACTCATTTATTTACAGACCACCACCATATAGCTGGATTTTCCTGACCGCTGCGTGAAACAACAACACAACAAACCCAGCAAAGCGTGAACAACTTTGCCCTTAACTTGTTTGAGTGGCATTTTAGTTGAGACGTACAATATAGAACAATTTGTTTATGGATGACAACTTCTTTATATCGAGAGTGCGACGTTTCGATACAGATTCTTGTACCGTTGTCAAGCAAGAGTCCTTGTTATGTTATTGATCGAAACAGCAAAAAGCAACGACTGATCGCTGAAATTTTACAGGAAAATGTTTTACATGTATTTGCACGTTTTAATGTCATTTGTGTACACCTTTCTTGTTTTTAAGGTGTCAAAATCATACATGATTCCTCATTTGGCGATAACTGAACGCATACGAGCAGCTGGTGGTGTCATTGCACGTCTTTATTGGGGGAATTTTGGATACTGACACTTTAATTAAAAATGAATATTAACTTAGTCACAGTGTGAATGCGATACATGAAGATCCTGGTTAGAATTGATCTTCACTAACCCATGCTTGTCGTAAGAGGCGACTAACATGATTGGGTGGTCAGGCTCGCTGACTTCGTTGACGTCGTATCCAAATTGCGTAGATCGATGCTCATGTTGTTGATCACTGGATTGTCCGGTCCAGACTCGATTATGTACAGTCCGATACCAAATAGTTGGATTGTTGCTGAGTGCGGCGTAAAACTAAACTCACTCAGTGTGAATAGCGCCAACTCCAGTCACGCACGCATCTGTTCAATACAGGCGTCAGTTAACGTTGGTGGCCACTACAGCATTGTTATTGGATTATTTCTCAGAGGCGAAACGAAAAACCACTCACAAGCAAGCTACAAAGCTTGTTATACACTACTCAGACAGGAACTCTCACAATCAGAAGCATGTGTGTTTCTCTACCCACCAGTCATGATAGACTAGCTATAGTCAGATACTGGTGACTTTAACTTGTTTTATACAACGTTTGTATACAGCGTTTGCATGTGCTGTGGTAGACTTGCACAGGTTTCTAAGGTAATATATAATAGTTTAAATGATAATTTCTGCAAAACATAGATATACCGCTCACATACTGGCGTACTTAACTTATCTAGCCTTCCCTCTTTAATGGATAGAATTACTATACATGTATGGGCTTAGCCTTCACTACAGCCTTGGACGAAGGATAGGGCTGTCGCAACCAACATTTGTATCCCTATCCTCCGGGCAAGTTACAGTCTATATCCTGGTTGCTGGTAAAGGGTGTTGTGTAACCAGATGACTTGCAAAATAGCCTATTTTAAGTTCACACCGGCAGTGAACTGCAGATATACATTTCATTGTGTCTGTGTTTATAGATATAGGTCGTGGGTTTATGTAATTAACCGATTCTGTATACCCCATG